AAGTGATCATACTAGTGTTCTATTGGAATTTTACACAGTTGTACATCGCTCAATAAGACATTCACAAATCCTTGCTCCTATGTAAACGAAATTAAGAAATAATTTGAAAAAAAGAAATATCCGCCATTTTGAATCCCCATTTTGACTTTTAACTTACAGCTGCACCATTATTCAATTGTAGAATAGTGAGATATAGAGCAAAAAATACAAATTTGCAGTGTATGGATATTTGCAAATGTAAAATTCTGAACAAAGAAGGATAAAGAAACAATAGACAAATAAATTAGAGAAAATTCGAATTAAGTGTAAAAACGGCTAAATTTTCTGAGTTAAACTGATAATGTTAGCATTTTATTATATTTTTTATAGTTTTATTACACTCAGTAAGATATTCATTCATTACATCTCCATTTTGAACGACATTGAGAGAAAATTAGAAAAATTGGATGTCCGCCATTTTGAATCGGCATTTTGACCTCTTTAACGCCATTTTCATGAAGGCCAGCATATATTTTCGGATTCAGCATACTCGAATTAGTTTAAAAAACTATGCTAGACCAAATAATAATTATTTGCCGTTAGAAGTATTTTCCAGCCTTCTTTTTAAAAAATCAGGACCAGACTAGATGAAATTGCATGAAAATCTACAATTAAAATGTATATTAATATGTCGGCAAATTGAAAAAAAGAAATTGAAAATATATATATAAATGGAAAATAGCAGTTGCATTTAAATATATTTGGATTAAAAGATCCGATCGGAAGAGTTGTCTTTCTTTATTTTCCAGGGTTTGAAAAAATCTGGGTGCTATTTAAGAAATGATTCAGCATTTTATCACCGATATAAAAAATCGCACTTTCTTTCGTTGGTAGTCTTTAACTTAGAACTGTTTTGAAGACAATGCCTGGACAATCGCTTTCAAAACGTGTCTCATTCAGATTGAGCCATTACATTCATTTAAAAGTTTTCGGACTATATCCAACAGCTAGCTGATTTGTGACCAAACAGTTACTTCTTGAATTCAATAACAAAGACGACCAGTCCTGGTTAACGAGATAATTGATTGGTAATCATTAAGCGCAATGTGAAATCCTCATACTTATCCATGCCTCATCGAACACCGGGGGGGAGTGGACAGTTAAACAATTGAAAGACAGCTTTTCATTAATAGTGTTCAAAAGCTGTAATGTTCAAACTATATGATTTACAGAGTTTGCTTTTAAAATGTCCATAGTACAATTAAAAGTAAAGTTGTATACTTGTTTGTCTATTTTACCTAAAATGCCGACTTATGTGAACTTGCATTGAATTAGCTACAGTTTGTTCTTTTAAACGGTGTATCTACAATTTTTGACCCGATAATAAGCGCTCATGCAAATCAAAACAATATTTCAAACGGAAGTACGTCATAACATGGAGATATCCCATTCTACCTTAAGCACATGACCGGTCGACAGGGATGCCCACTTCTGAATGGAACCTGATCCTCCTCTAATGTTTTGGAGGTCTGTGTTTCTTGTACTCCTACTTTGTACTGTTTTTACTTCTGATGTTGAATGCTGTTTGTAATATCCATATGTTTCATCCTGTGAAAAACCTTATACAAGGGTTGTTCGAAAAGTTTGTGGACAATGTCAATTTTCGTAATACAGTACTTCTTTCCAGAAATTTAAAATAAGCTCAATATTCTGTGTAAAAATACTACTAGGCCTAGAGTTATCAAACTTTGTCATCTGATGCATCTTGGGTAGAAGGCGTTTAGCGCACAAAAAGTAGGTCGCTCTGACCTTTGATTAAAAAGTTATAGTCAAATATGGAAAAATCCTTTCGCTCAGACCTTTGATTAAGAAGTTATAGTCAATTATGGAAAAATCCTTTCCGGCCCATAACTAGAAAACCATAAGACCTACAATCATCAAACTCGGCCAGTTTATGCATCTTAGGTAGAAGGTGTGCTGCGACCTATTTCAAGGTCACTGTGACCTTTACTTTAATTGAATTTAAAAAAAAATTTGTGTTTTTACTATTCATTTACACATCCCAAATAATTGAAGAGTATTGCACTGTTTTTATTAAAAAAGTGTTAAATCAAGAAAATACTTATTTTATTTTAAGCATATACTTGACAGCAATCTATTAGAAATATAATGTATGTCAGAGAAATCCTGCCTCTCCCATGAGTGTAATGATCAAGCACTGGTAAGAAGAATTTTGATAACAGAAAATTTCATGTCAAACTAGAGAGAAATTAATTGGTTTTGAGTGCGAGGAGCTAACTGACAGAGCATTGGTGTTATCTATATCCTTTGAGTATTGGGCAAATGGGTGAGCCTGTTTGGTTTAAAATAGCTCTTGTTGACTAGCTTAAGTTTTAAAATGAATTTAATGAAAAGTAATTAAAACTAATCTGATATTGCAAAATAGACTAATCTGATATTATGTAACATTATGAATTTAAAAACTTTTTATTGGATGGCCCCAGGGGTGGAATCAGCATGTCCATATGAATTACATATTAAAACCTGTCGGGCATGAAATCTCAACCAAAAAAAAATCGACAAGAATCCAGTTAAGGATTAATTAATGAGTTTAGTGTATGAAGGCTAGCTGTCTAAGTCGATCTGATTAAGCCGTCTTATCTGTACCCTTTGGGGATTAGACAGAAGAACTGCTGCTCAGTTTATAACATGTCATTTGTTGGCCAGCCTTTTCTTTTCAAAATTAATTTGGTAGAGATTAAGTTGTTAAGACTAATTTGATGATGGGCATTTGACAAGGTCAAACACAACCAGCAAAGAAATCTATCTGTGATGTAATATTTATTATAATTGATGCCTACATCACCGGGGATGGATAAATATTTTAAGGAATGGAAAAATCATCGAAATCTTAGAATCAAGGTTGATGTGATTTTCTTGCATCTAAACTGTTCACGAAAATTGTAATTATTTGACGGGCGTATCATGCTGTGGCGCAGCACTTTATTTAACATTTTAATAGTATGGTAAATTGGAATTGTAAGAATTAGCATCCGTGAAGTTGCTTGAAAATGTACATGTATCAGTGTTTCTCTATACAGTTCAAGATTAAAGTACTGTTTATTTGAAACCAAAAGAATGTCTATAAAATACACATGGATTATCATGATTATCTTAACAATTCAAAGACTGAATTTTAGGAAATTTGCAAGATTTCTTGGAAATATTTTTTTTTTGAATCATAACATATCTTGGGATCTGGACTGTTAATTTTTATTACTGGTATATGGGATATCGTTTAAATCATAATCATACAAACTCCACCTATTAAAAAACAATGACCAAAAGGGGAAAAAAATAAAGATTTACTAATTTCAGATCAGAAAATATAGTTGAGCAATTACAGCCCAACTTTCAGTTCTTCAATACTTTGATTTTTTTATGTATTCAGAAAAATAGAAATTTTAAAAATCAAACATTGAAATTGAATTTTCTGAGAAAAAATGTCTCACCTACTTACTTTAAACTGACTTATTTCATTCAGAGCCTTTAGGGGCAAACAAACATCTTTTTATATTTGGCCTCACCTGTCAATACTGTCAAATTTCCAAACTTTGAAAATGTCACTTTAGGTTGTCAATAGTGTAGTCCCATTGTAATCAGAATGGTTTTTGGCCACATTTAACCTAACTTAATGACTTCATGTTTTTACTTTTAACGTTATATTGTGTTTTTGAGATAAAGTTTGCAAATATAGAAGTATAAAACATTTTGTTATACCTTTAGAGATTTGTACTTATACAAATTTAAAAGAAAAAAGTCTAACATTTATAATATTTTGCTGAGCGGGCATAAAAAAATCAATATTGGTCTGCCGAGTGAGATTTTGACCTTGCAATGAGATGCTGGACCGCCTACACCAATTAATAAAGCGTAGGACATTCATCTCATTCGCAATAGTGACCAATCTGAGGTTTATATCATGGTCTGGAAATAAAGGAAAATACTTCTTCAATTCAATGTATAAATAATGGACTAATAATTAGTATGAAAAAGGTCAGTCAGCATTTTACAAAATGATTAATTGTGTTTGTTGACAAAGTCATTGTATCGACCGTAGAATTTAAGAAATGATGACTTTAAACGAGACTGTTGATTTTCTTGTTTCGTTAACTTGTTTGTCAATAATTTACCTCATTTTTAGAAATTGTTCATACGTAGGGCATTCTCTTGCATTCCGAATCAACTTAGACTTATAATCGCCTTATGCAGCTGATGAAAGTATATTGCTGCATAAGTATATGTAAGGAAAGTTGACGATAGAAATGTTAAAGCCATCACTATTATCAAAAAGCTTGGTTGTTAGATTACTATTAATACTTTTTCTGAAGTAAAGTATCCAAGTATGAAAGTATCTAAGGATCCTGTGTTGTGGTGGCACAATTTCCTATTGCGGGTTATTACTGATTGGGTGGATATCTTGCAGTAATAAGAGTGTGTGTTGGTCTTACTCTGTAGAGATTATTTTTTTTTAATTTTCATTCTGAAGGTACATCATTTTCTTGACACTTTGCTTAAAATTTTGACAAATTTACTGTATAAATGAAATTTTTCATGACATCGAACTGAAAAATACATCATTAATCATTAATTAAGAAGATGATTTATCTTATGCATTTGTTCTTTAAAACATAAAATGTTAGGTGAACACTTAGAGGTAGGGAAAAAGCCTTTAATAATTTTCTCAAGAACCACTGGGCAAGAAAAGCAAAAAATTAAGTGGAAGCATCCTGTCAGAATTAAAATTAATTCTAATCTGTTTAAATCACGACCCCAGGGGCACATGTAGCGTTGGGCCACAAAAAGAATTACCAAGAGAGACATCTGGTTAAAAACACAGCATGGCAATAGTTACTCAGGTTAATGATGTGGCCCCTGGACACTTTTGATACACTGATATAGCTTCAACCTAAAGAAAGATTTATTTGTTACATTTACAGAAAGAAGAAACAGATTTTGCATCCAGGTCAGAAAGTCATCTTGGGAATTTAAACTGCAGTGTAAATGAAAATGAATTTGTGAATTGCGAACAATACATAAATGCTTGTGAAAGTAAAAGGCCCAATGAATGTAAAATTTGTATGAAAATATTTGATCATCTACATGAGTTACAGAGACACATGAGTAAACATACAGATGATAAACCTTATAAATGTGATGTGTGTGGAAAGGCATTCAAACATTCAGGTGATATACAGAGACACATGAGAACACATACAGGTGATAAACCATATAACTGTGATGTGTGTGGGAAGGCATTCAGACTATCACATCACTTATTACAGCATCACATGAGAATTCACACAAGTGATAAACTTTATAAATGTGATGTTTGTGGAATGGCATTCAGGCAGCCACAGTATTTAAAGAGCCATAGGAGGACACATACAGGTGAGAAATCTTATAAATGTGATATGTGTGGAAAGTCTTTCAAACAGCTAGGAAAACTACAGATACACATGAGAACACATACAGGTGAAAAACCTTATAAATGTGATGTTTGTGAGAAGGCATTCAAACAGTCAAATAACCTACATGATCACATGAGAATACATACAGGTGATCAACCTTATAAATGTGATGTGTGTGGAAAAGCATTCAAATGGACAAGTAACTTACGGAGACACATAAGGACACATACAGGTGATAGACCTTATAAGTGTGATGTTTGTGAAAAGGCATTCAAAGAGACAAGTGACTTAAGGAGACACATGAGGACACATACCGATGATAAACCTTATAAATGTGATGTATGTGAAAAGGCATTCAAACAGACAAGTGATTTAAGGAGGCACATTGGGACACATACCGATGATAAGTCTTATATATGTGATGTTTGTGGGAGGGCATTTACTCGGTCAAGTACCTTTCATGCGCACATGAGGACACACACTGGTGGAAAACCTTATAGATGTGCATGTGATGTGTGTGAAAAGGCATTCAAACAGACAAGTAACTCACAAAGACACATGAGGACACATACAATTGTTAAACCTTTAAAATGTGATGTGTGTGGAAAAGCATTTAACAAATTATATGCTTTACAGACACACAAGAGGACACATACAGGTGATAAACCTTTTAAATGTGATGTCTGTTGGAAGGCATTTAAACAGTCAGGTCACTTACAGGATCACATGAGAATACATACAGGTGATAGACCTTATATCTGTGATGTATGTGAAAAGGCATTTAAACGGTTAAGTGACTTACAGAGACACATGAGGACACATACAGATGAAAAACCTTATAAATGTGATATTTGTGGGAAGACATTCAGCCAATCAAAATATTTAAAGAGACACATGAGCACACATTCAGTTGAAGCATCATACTAATGTGATGTGTGTGGGAAGGCATTCATTCATTCATTCATTCATTCAAGTACCAAACAGAGACACATAAGGACACATACCGGTAATAAACCTTATAAATGTGACGTATGTGGGAAGGAAACCTACCAGTAAGGTAACTTACAGTCACACATAAGGACGTACAGGATGAGAAACCTTGTAGATGTGATATCTGTGGTAAGGCTTACAACCTCTCACAATATTTAAAAAGTCACATGAGGATACATACAGGTGATAAGCCTTACGTATGTGATGTGTAAAGGAAGGCATTCAACTGGTCAAATTACTGATACATATGAGGACTCATACTGGTGAAAAAACCTTATAAATGTGATGTGTGTGGGAAGGCTTTCAGCCATTCACATCCTCTCAAGCGTCACATGAGGATGCGTACAGGTGACATTCGTCATGTATGTGATATATGTGGAAAGCCATTCCATTGTTCAAGTAACTTCAAGAGACATTGTAGGATACATTGTGGTGATTCATAGTGGTTCGTAAAAGAAAAGTTGCGTGAAATGGCGAATTTAAATAAATACATTGAGACAAATCCAGATGAACTTTATGAATGTGATGTGTGTGGGAAGTCATTGAATCTATCGAGTAACGTACCAGTTCACGAAAAGGTGACATTCAGGTGATAAACATTAGGAATGGGATATATGTGTGTGAGCGATTTAAGATACTTAAGCACATGACCGGTCGACAGGGATGCTCACTTCTGAATGGAACCTGATCCCACCTCCGATGTTTTGGAGGTCCGTGTTTCCTATACTCCTACTTTGTATTGTTTTATGGACTTCTGATGTTGAACACTGTTCGTTATATCCATATGTTTCATCCTGTGAAAAAACCTAAAACGAGGGTTGTTCGAAAAGTTGGTAGACATTGTCAATTTTAGTTATACTTCTTTCCAGATATTTAAAATAAGCTCAATATTCTTTGTAAAAATATATTTTTTTGTGGATGTATGAAGTTTTCTTTCATTTGATTGAAAAGAAATTTATTTACTTGTTTTGTACCCCCAGAGAAGACTTGAAATAGTGTCAAGAATTTCTTTTAAATACAATCCATATACAATTCAACAGTAAAGTTCAATAGTCACGCAGTTTAAAAAAAATAACTTTTTCTAGCGCTTGAAATTCAGTCTTCTAACAATTTTTAGCTCTTCTGAGCCAAAGGTTAAAAAAGCTAATGCTATGGCCATTTGTGCGGTGTGTGTTAACTTTTTATAATGGCCATAACTCAAGAACCCCTTGGCCAATCAGTGTCAAATTTGTCACAGGGTATCCTTGGCCCAAGGGCTACCATTTATACTAAAATAAGGGTTGGGACCTTAAAACAGGGGAAGATAATGTAATCAGGACAACAAAACCAAAAGCACTAGTTTCTAAAAAATCTTCTCCAAAACCACCAGGTAGATTTTCACCAAACTTACATACAAGGATCAGGATATGTTGAAGATTAAAAATTGTTCAAGGCATGACCCTGGGGTAAAAGGCATTGTCTCAAGGTCACTAAAGTTAATTAAATTTCCTTCAGTGGAATGAGAGGAGTTGCGGATAAGAGATTGGTACCCCAAAGCGTAACAGACACACGGACGGACGTACAGACGGCCGGTCGGAAATACTGATTATTATGTACCCTCCCACTTTTCAAGCGGTGGTTATAACTAGAGGTACATGTACTGTGAGGAACGAGCTCCCTCTTTGATACTTTCCGCCTTTCATATGAATGTAATGGCAGTGTCCATGTTTTGCAATGGCAAACACAAAACCAACTTGGTTAGAAATATGCTACATGATGCTCATGTGACCTTTAAGTCCCATGGGCCTCTTATTATATCCCCTGCTTGAAAAGCGGGAGAGTATACAGTGATCGGGATGTCCGTCCGTCTGTCCGTCCGACGTCTGTTACATTTTGGGGTATTCATCTGTTATCCGCAACTCCTCTCATACCACTGAATGAAATTTGATGAAACTTTCACATAATCTTTATTACATATTGCCATTGTGCACCTTTTACTTTACTTTTTGATCCGACACATATTTTGGGTTTTCCACAAGAAAACATAGACACTGTCATTATATTCATTGTGGGTAAGGAGGGGGGTTTCATTAAGTGAGCTCATTGTTCATAGTACCTCTAGTTCTAATATGAATTTAAACATCTCACCTTCTTCATTTCGATCCCCGTGGGGATCCGGGCTAGAATAGGTCCTCAGTGCCCCCTTGCTTGCCATAAAAGGCGACTAAATGGGGCGGTCCTTCGGATGAGACCGTATAAACCGAGGCCCCGTGTCACGTACAGCAGGTGTGGCACGATATGGATCCCTCACTGCTCAATGGCCCTGAGTGCTGAGCAAAGGCCCAAATTCTTCACCCCTTCACCGGCAATGGTGACGTCTCCATATCAGTGAAATATTCTGGAGAGGGACGTTAAACGGTATACAATCAATCAATCAATCAATCAATCTTCATTGATATAAACAATAATCTAAAACTCTTTGATTCAAGGAAATGAAAAATGAGCACCATCAAAGTTAAAAATTGAGAGTTTGTAAGTTTGCCACAGATAACTTATAATATCTATTAAAAGTTTAATTATCACTATTGAAACACATAGAAATTAAACACATAAAATCGATATGAATGACCTTGTTTTAGTACCAACTAGTACGAGGGGAGATGATCAAAATGTTCGCCAACTATCTCTATTCATGTGTATCTACAAAACCACAATTCAGATTAGAAACAAATTAAGTGCAAATATAGCCAGAACCAAATTCTATAAATAGCATATGCAGAATAAAGTTTTGCTCACAATGTTAAAATGACGTGATTATGCAGGTACTTTTGACGTAAAATGATTGTCTCAGTTTAACTCGTTCAACAAATGACTAAAATATTTATGGTATATCTTAAAATGCCTTTGAAGTACCGTATAAGAATGTGTTCACAGATTGTTAAGACAAACGACATTCTATAAATTCAATCAATGATTGGATAGATCGTTTTAGTGAAGAAAGGCAAATTGTTAAATATGGTATTTGATATGTTATCTTGGGATGTGTTTTAATTAAGCAATATGTTATGAAAGACTTCCAATTTACACTTTAAAAAATACTCGAATATTTCAACAATAAGATAACTATCAAAAACCTAAGATACCGTTTACTTTTTGATCCCCCTCGTATACCCTGTCAGATAAACATTTATAATTTTCATTACAGCGGTGCAACATTTGAAAAGGAATGAAATCTTTCAGAGTGGGTTAGAAGATTTAATGAATAAAAAATATTTTCTATTTGCCCATTTTGTCAAAATTACGATTTTACAGAGTAAAGAAAAAAAATCAACATAACTGAATATTTCATACCATCTTAAAAATGACGTTTGGTGGTCCTCCCAACTCAGGGAAAAATTATTGGGTCGGTATTTATAGGTGAGAAAAAAATCCTTAAAATTTAAACATATTTCTTAACGAAAGAAAAAAATATTGTGTAATGGGATGTAAAAAAGTTGGGCCATTTCTAGATAGACAGAAGATTGGGAGAGAGGGCAACCAAATATTTCTATAACAAATGGTCTTATAGGGCTAGTACATGTTCTATCACATACTTAAGTAATGCAAACTTTTTGAATCTTTGGCACTTTTAAGAAAAACGTACAAAGATAGGATTTTGGGGGGGGTAGCCTCTCACTTTTTATTTTGCGATGATAGACATAGCATATGCAATGGACCTTTCTTTGGAAACATTGTGCTTGTTTCTAAATTTCAGAGAAACAAATCAATATATTTTATCAAGCTTCGTATGTTCAATGAGCGAGAGCTTACAACGTTGTCAACTTAATGAGATATGATGCGTTTTTATGTCCAAACATTACTCCATACAATGTGTGGGTCATTGTAAGAAATCTAGCTATTTATGTGAGGTGCCTGAAGGAAATCTTATAGCTGCCTATTGTTTCTTTCTAACTGCTAAACAAAATAGACATATTTACCACTTTTCGAATGTAAGACATGTAATTAATGTTTGTTATTCATGCACCGCATATTGTTTAACATTTTCAAATTAAATGCTAAGCATCCTCCTTGCAGTGCCCCCATTTGAAAACAACTTCTATCGCCACAGAAAAAAGACCCGACGTAAACTCATATGTTTAGGAATTTTTTATCTTTTTTCTTGAGTTTTAAAGAAACCAACAAATTATCAAGACTTGTTCCATGAAAAATTAAATATAATCATGGTAATAAACGCATCTATCCACAGCAGATATATGCACATGCCAACCACGTGCTCAGTGCAATGATATTAACAAGGAAATTCGAGTTTTAAACAGATCAGTTTTTGGCGATTTGCTTGAGTGGGGTTAAAATGGCGTTTCTTCATTTATCAGACGATGCGATGCAACAAACAAAAGTAGCAAGTACTATAACCTAATGATAATTACTTAGTAAATTCTTGTCTTTATGTTATTATGGTCGCATTTATTCTAAAATCAATGTTATTCGAACTCAGTGTGAAAGAGGAATGGCGGACGAAATAAACACATGGCCTCAGGAAGACACCCATATGAAAAATCAAATTTTCAAGAATTATGGATAATGACAAGGAAAAAGCTAAAATAATGGTTGTAGTCATATTATCAATGAATCAAACTAACACCATTTTCAATGCATTTTTCATCTCGTGAATGCTGTAGCTGCGCAGTTCTAACATGATTAATTTCCTCCTAATTAAAACAAAATAAACTTAATAATTTATTAATTTTGGTCTCTAACAGTAGGTAATAAGTGCATTAGCACTTTGAGTAACTTTGGGATAGTTTAGTACAGTATTAAGCGTATTCTTGCACCAGCCTAGATCCAATATGGCTTGTACATCCCCCTCAACAATGCCAAGCACTGGTTCCAATGCCACATTAATATTTGCTAAATAAGAAAACTCTCACTGAGTTGATAAAACAAGTCCCTGAACACAAAGACTTTGTGCCAGTATTATTATATCACCTCTTGAAGAAGGAGGGTATATATTGTTCGAAATGTCCGTCCAAGTGTTCGAGATGTCCGTCCATCCTTCTGTCTGCTACGCTTTAGGGTACATATCTCTTATCTGCAACTCTTCTTTTACCACTGAATGAAATCTAATGAGACTTTGAAAAGAAATCTATGTAACAAAGTGCTCCTCTTATTTGACTTTTTGATCAGACACATATTTTGGGTTTTCCAGAAGAAAACATGAACATTCGCGTTGCCATTCCTTCTTTAATATTATTACGGATCTCCCAGAGCAAAACATGGATTTTATCATTATAACCATATTGTAAGCGAGGGGTATCATTTAGTGAGCTTATTGTTCACAAAACCTCTAGTTATGCCTCTGCATGGATCGAAAGATTCCGAAATTGTATTGTTTTTCTCCGGTCTGTCTTCTTACGCAGGGTAAATAAGGCGCGGATCTAAGAAGTATAATTTTAATTAGATTGGGGACTTAATTTCATATTTCACAGGTGTAGGTGTATTCTTTTTAAAAAGACCTCTCTTTAGGTTCCACCAAATATGACCTCTTGACCTTGGAGTTCGACCTACTTTTACAAACAAATACCAAACATTAACCTTGGCCATAACTTTTAAAGAGTTTGTGCAAGGGTTTTCATACTTTACGTGTGTATTCATTGTGACAAGACCTTTTGATGGGTTTGAATACTTTCGACCTTTTGACCCTGATCTTAGACTTTCTCCAACTTTTGAAAAAAATTCCTTGGCATTAACTTTCGAACAGTTGGTACTAGGACCTTCATATTTCACGGGTTTATTCTTATGACAAGACCTTCATTTGGATACCAACAGTTTTG